CGATCGTCTTAATTACTTGTAATTCCCAAATCGAAAATGTAAAAAAAATATTATTTTCCCATAAATAATTAAAAATGCATCGCAACTTAAAAATTGAAATATCTCAAAAACGGCTAACTATAACGAAAACTCACAAGAGAGATTTTTTATGCAGAAAAGTGCGTCAAATCAGTTTTTTTATTCAAAAAGCAAAAAATTGCGCTAAGACAAATTTTTCGGTCATTTTAATACACTACAGGTACAGTAGAGGGCGCCCTCTAGCGGCTGCAGTAAAACTATGCCCATGGTTCGTTTTCTCGTACCAAAAAACCCTTGTTTACCAATTTTCACTGTTATACGTCAAGGACTGTTCGAAATATTTAAAAAAAAAGCTATTTTAAAAAGTAAATTTAAACACCCTGTATTACGGAAGCCACGCATTTTTTGACCCATGTCGATATAGACTTTATGCATTAACTTTAAAAGTTCTATCGAATCTTAAAGTTATGCAACAATAAACTGGAATTGCTCCAAATTTTGAGGTGGTGTTGTTCACTAAGTCATTGCAATTTGATTTAGAGCGATCCAAAATCCACAGCGTTCAGCAATTGGGTATTTATGCATTATACAGCAAAATCGAAAAATGTTTCTTTTCCTAGCCAAGTACATAACTTTTGATCTGGATGAATTAAACAAATCGCAAATGGCTCAGCTGAATTAAAACTGATGTTTGCATCTCACCCTAGTAACATGCTTGTTTGTACCTGTGACCTGCACGAGGACTTGTATCATAATCCGTAAGAAGGACATGGGAAGTATACAGTTAATCTACTTGACGCTATTTTTCAAAGCCAAGGACAGGTTGCCTACCATAAGCTTCCCTCGGATGATATTCCACCCACCATATTTTCCCCCTTGAACGTTGAAAGAAGATATATAAAACTCCGAATCAGAATTTTTATACTCTTTATCAGAGAACCTATATAGATAAAGAGTCTTATCTCTACGTTATAAACTCATGAGGCCATCCCTTCCATTTTTTCCCTTTATACTCGCATAGCATCGTAAGGTTTCGATTTAATTCCTACATTGGGCGAACCCTTTATACTTAACGTACTATATTTTATTGCACCCTAGCTTTACGCGGAAGAAAGTTATCTTTTATATTAGAAATACCCTTTTGCTTGTAATGTACATACTATTGAAAGGTACCAGAAGGGCATTCTCCTGGTGTATATGTTGCAAAATGAACCAGCCCAAATGATGGTTTTTGATTTTATAAATAAATAGAATAAAAAAATACAAGTTTTCACTTGGCTGTTGATAAAACGAAGCGCGTTACGTTTTAGCATCTAACAAGGTTGAACAACGCCTCTATTAGCAAACTCAAAATAAATGAGCGTCATTATAGTATAAAACGGCATACCTATAATCGGAAAAGTGATTTGTAGATTTTTACTTCTTATTAACAGCTAAATGAGAGCTTAATTTTACATGTAACTTTTTTTTTCATTCATACATATAATAGTTGATTTCGTCCAGGGTAGGCAGAGTTTTTATACTCTTTATCAGAACCTATATAGGTAAAGAGTCTTATCTCTGCGTTATAAACTCATGAGGCAATCCCTTGGATTTTTTTCGCTTTATACTCGTATAGAATCGTAAAGTTTCGATTTAATTCCTACACTGGGCGAACCCTTTATAACATAACATAACATACTATATTTTATTGTAATCTGGCCTTACCTCGAAGAAAGCTATCTTTTATATTAGAAATACCCTTTTGCTTGCAACGTACATACTATTGAAAGGTACCAGAAGGACGTACTCCTGGGGTATATGTCGCAAAATGAACCAGCCCAAATAGTGATGCAGCGCTTTTTATAAATACATAGAATAAATAAAAAATACAAGTTTTCACTTAGCTGTTGATAAAACGAAGCGCATTACGTTTTAGCCTCTAACAAGGTATAAAACGGCATACCTACAATCGGAAAAGTGATTTTTAAATTTTTACATTTTATTAACAGGTAAATGAGAGCTTAATTTTACATGTATTTTTTTATTCATATATATATATATAATAGTTGATTTTGTCTCGGGTAGTAGGTGAATCTGCTGAATACGACCATAAAGCATTTCAAGTGAGGAAAGAGTAATCTTATGTTTGATGAGTTAAATAAATCTCAAATGGCTCAGCAGAATTAAAATTGATTTTTGCCTCTCAACCTAGTAACATGCTTGTTTGTACCTGTAACCTGCTCTACATGTTCCAACGCGCAACGAGTTTACTATACTGACACGTTCAAACTTTCTCCCGTAATATCTTCCGCAGAACCTGGTAGAATTATAATCGTCTTTATTGCCCAACAGGCTCTCAAGTACAAGGCAATAAATAAAAAAACTAAGGATGTGAAATATGAATAATGCGAAAAGTACATGTTACAGATAAAAAATATATACCGAGTGACAAAAAGGGTAAACACCTACGTATGTTTATTAGAATTCAAGAACTTTTTACATATCGATGTACCTTGCCATGAACAACAAGTGATAAAATGGTCAGGTTTTTCTGTTAAGCTCTTGAGGTGGCTGCGTGTAATGTTTGGTGATAAAGAATCATTCAGTCTTCGTACATTTACGGTGTCAGTTGAATGTTAGGGATAATATTGCCGGCAATATTGCCCAAAAGTGGCAACTTAGGGCAACTTTTTGTTTAAAGCTGAAAATCAATTAAATATTGTACGGTTGAATACAGAGTGGCGCATCGAAAACGAAACAGACGCGTTTACTGGCAGCTCAGTTTTTTTTTGAAAAACGCTCACACCCGTCGATTCTGTTTTCGAGGGGGACACAAGTTTGGCAAAAAATCACGTTAGCACATGCAGCCCCCTAAGCGGGGGTCACACTATCCCCAAAATCTTAAATGGAAAGGGGGGAAGAGTGATACCTTGTTTTAAAGGTCTTTCAATTCCATTTATAATGATATAAAATTAATGTACCTCAGTTCAGTAGTTTTGAAGATTTATTGATTTAAAGCTTAAATAAAACTAATACATCATCATTAGTGGAGACCAATACATTTGGTATCAAAGTAATTTAAAAATGAACAATGAACTGACCCGTTAGGTAAGTAAATGTTGAAAATGGCAACGATGACTCTCCATGCAATAATAAAGATTTTGCTCAAAACGTTGCCGCACATTTTGCAATATTTGAGGAGTAATTTGAAGGCACTCATTCACAATTCTTTGTCGCAGGTTTTCTAATGATGTTGGCTGAGTAGCATAGATTTTGCTTTTTAAATGACCTCACATAAAGAAATCCAAAAGTGATAAATCTGGTGATCTTGGGGGCCATTCAATGGCACCTCTTCTACCAATCCATCGATCTGGAAACGTCTGATCTAAATATTGTCGAACACGTAATGCGTAATGTGGTGGGGCACCATCCTGTTGGAACATCAACCTATTCGCAATGTACCGCCGATCATTCTGATTTTCAATTATGGCCGGTCAAATTTCCAGGTAAGAAAAAATGACCAACTAAATGATCGCCAAAAATATCAGCCCAAACATTTAATTTAGCTACGTGTTCTAGAACACATTTTCGATGCACGTTACTGTTCTCATGTCGCTCATTAAATATTTCTGGTGTTCTATTAGCGCACTGATTATTTCCGAAAAATATTTCGATAATTTCAACTCTTTCTGCTGTGGAATATACCATCGTTAATTTATGTAATAAACCGTTACACGTTATTTTAGCAACAAAGTTTGGTCAAATCAATCGCAAACTATGTACTAAATTCCTGTTTAAAATAAGTACGAGATAGTTCCTTATCTTCCTTCAAGAAATAACTTTTTGCCACAAAAAACGCTTAAATAGCTATTTTCAACAACAAAATGATAAACAAACCATGGGCGTAGTGAAGAAAAGCATTTACTTATTAAGTAAATTCTTTTAGTCAAATTTCTTCTGAAAGTAGTACAAACTAATCTGATGTACCTATTAGAGTCTACTTTAAGCTTTAAATCAATAAATCTTCAAAACTACTGATGTATTTTACATTATTATAAAGGGAATTGAAAGACCTTTAAAATAAGGTATCACTCGACCCCCCTTCCCATTTAAGATTTTAGGGTTGGTGTCACCTCCGCCCAGGGGGCTGCACGTATCAACGTGATTTCTTGCCAAACTTGTGTCCCCCTCGAAAACAAAATCGACGGGTCTGAGCATTTTTCCAGAAAAAAAAGCTGAGCTGCCAGTAAATGCGTCTCTGTTTCGTTTTCGATGCGCCATCCTGTATAATTATTGGTATGAGAAAAAAAAGGAATAAAGTAATTCATAGTTTATTAAATTAAAATTAATAAAATTTGTCTTAAACCTTAAAATTATGGGACTATGATATATCGTGTAATTCGTGCTCGTTCATGGTGATTTAAGGCCCGGGAACTAAGTCACAGATCCTGTTTCCGTGTCCGACCCTGATGTATAGGTGCATGATGAAGGCAATGTAGTAGAAGTGTTATCATTGTCAACATCATCATCATCATCATATCATTCCATTATACTAGTGTATTCTAAGGTTCTTGACGATGACTGACACTCTGTATTTTTTGCTTGCTGTGGTTGTGACGTTGACTCAGTCAGTATTATTACCAGTTCTGATTTTGGTTGACTTATTGATACCTAGTGCCTTCCTTCTGTGCATAACTTTCCAGTTATGGGCAATCTAGCATAGTTTTCCTGCTCTGTTGGCATTCAGTTTATGTCGCTTCTTATCATGTACAAATAAGAACATGGAGAAGGATCTTTCCACAGAGGCAGATGTTGAGGGCACACTTAAAATTCTTATTGCAACCTTTCCTAAGTCAGTATTTTGATAAAAGGTTTTCCACCATAACAAAGCACTGCTCTAAACAAACTCCTTTGTTACTCCAATGTTATTTATGTTTCGTCCGATTTGACATATTCCTTCACAACTGGCAATTTGTTGTTGTGCTGTCATTATTAATCCCTGGCTTCTGGGCTCCAGGAGACAAGCTGCCAAATGAATAGGCTTTAAGGCATGTAACTTTCAGTCTTTAAATTTCTGCCGAATTAACTCTGCTTCTGTGGAAGAATTCAATGCCTGAAGCAATCAATCTTCCAGCCTTTTTTCTATTTCAAAAAATGCCGATCACACTACGTGGATACTATTGTAGTCACCCTGCAAATATGTGATCCAATGCACAACTGGTTGCAAAAGGCTACGCAGGTTCTCCAAATGTAACCAAAACTGGTCATCAAGTAAAGTCTGTTCATGCTTTTTGGTCAACGTTTTTGTGGAGTCTTGGTTTATTGCTTTCGTACCGCGCACCGGCGCCGGCGCGACAGCTCCGACGTATTATATTGGTCCGGTGGGAGTATTCCCACATTTCCGCCAATATTGCCGCTTTAAAAATTCCCAAATTTTGGTAACTCAAACAGACCTTAGCAACTTTCTGGCAATATTCATAACATGGGAATATTGCCATTTGGCAATATGATCGTCGGCACATCGCTAGGTGAAAGACGAGACCCACCATTTGACAGAGAGCGTCTCGTTCTCCATACCGTGGGAGTTATGGTATTGCTAATGGTAGCAGATCACCACTAATTTTCATCAGAGGCAATATGATAGCCCGACGCTATATTCAGGAAATAGTGGAGGCTCATCTTATTCCATACCTAAACACCATCCAATACCCGATTTTTCAGCAATACAATGCCAGTCCGCATGGTACCAGAGCTTCGTTAGCCTTCATGGCATCAACCGTTTAGCTTGGCCACCACGATCGTTTGACCTATATCCAATTGAACATGTCTGGGATATGATCGCAGGCCCTCGAATTTGCAACACCCTCAACAGACTTTAGCAGCTCTTACTCACAAATTTGCAGAAGCCTGGAATGAGATACCCCAACAGAATATCGACCACCTTATCAGCACGATGCCCAGGGGTGTCAATGAGTGTCTAAGAAATCGTGGATCCTGAACACATTATTGAACCAACTTCCGCAGTCAGCGGACGAATGGAGCTGAAAATTTAATCATTTTACTAGTAATGGACACTGAGCATATATGCCAGAAATTATTAAGATTGGATAAACATACGTAGGTGTCCACCTTTTTCTGTCACTCAGTGTACATGCACATTATTTTAAATATCAATACGATCAACCTCTGGGAAAAATGATGAAGCAGTTAAATGCTAGACATGTTAATAAAATTGTTAGCTCATTTATGAGATTACTCTGCACAATTCAGTATTTTTAAAATGCTGTCAAATTTTTTTATCACAAACAGCAGAAATTGAATTACCAGTTTCACTTTAGAAGCCAATTAGTTCTAGCTCTCTCACAATGGAAAAGTTTCGTATTTCTGGTTCCCAAATAAGGCACAGAGAAATTAATACTTCAATTAGATTGAATTACGCTGGCGTCTAGGTTATTATATAAGAGTTTGTACAAAATAGTAAGAAAATACATTTTCGTCTTAGATGCAGATCTTTTAATTCAAAGCTAAAAGTAAGGTGCTCGTTTTACGAGTATACGAGTATTACCATGAAGATAATTACAGTCAATCTCATAAGCCAGTAATTTCAAAAAGCCATTTTATGCCCAGAGTAACGAGGATACCAAATAATTTACGCATATCTTAATTTTGAATGAACCAAAGTCAAATACACTGCTGTAAGGGCTTCAAAATCAGTAAAACACTGTTCCTTACTAGAAATCCATACTCCTATACTTGGATTTATGCCTATAGCAGCTGCGGTGTTCTGGTATTCGGGCTTTTGCCTATGCGGTATAAAAGAAGGCATTATAATGGGTGATTTTTTTGGTAGTATCTTTTTGGCAACACTGTTTTTGACATATGACGCGTGAATCGTGTCTTGTGTCATTGTCAAACTTGTTCAGTTTGGTCTATAATTTAACCATGAATCGACTTACGAACGAACAACGCTTGCAAATTATTGAATTTTACTATCAAAATTCATGCTCGGTTAAGAGAGTGCATCGAGCACTGCTTCCAATTTATAGGCAATTTGGTCGGCCTACTGAGGGAGCTATTCGGAAGCTTGTGACTAAATTTCGAACCCAGTTTACATTATTGGACATTAAACCACCAACACGGAGACGTAGAGTGAGGACTGAAGAAAATATTGCGGCTGTATCCGCCAGTGTTAGTGATGACTGTGAAATGTCGATTCGCCGCCGTTCGCAGCAATTGGGCCTCTGTTACTCCACTACGTGGAAAATTTTGCGACAGGATTTGGGTGTAAAACCTTATAAGATACAGCTGGTGCAAGAACGCGACCTTCCACAACGTTTTTAATTTGGTGAATGGGCGCTGGCAAAGTTGGAGGAAGATCCACATTTTTTTCGAAAAATTGTGTTCAGCGACGAAGCTCATTTCTGGTTGAATGGGTACGTTAACAAGCAAAATTGCCGCATCTGGAGTGAAGACCAGCCAGAACCATTGCAAGAGCTACCAATGCATCGCGAAAAAATCACTGTTTGGTGTGGATTATGGGCCGGTGGCATCATCGGGCCGTACTTCTTCAAAGACGACAATCGCCGGAACGTAACTGTGAATGGCGAGCGATACCGTGCGATGATAACAAACTTTTTTTTGCCCAAAATGGAAGAGCTGGACTTGGCTGACATGTGGTTTCAATAAGACGGTGCCACATGCCACACCGCACACGAAACAATGGCCCTATTGAGAGGCGAGTTCGGTGAACAGTTTATCTCACGTTTGGGGTCCGTCAATTGGCCGCCTAGATCGTGTGATTTAACGTCGTTGGACTATTTCTTGTGGGGCCATGTTAAGGTTAATGTCTACAAGGATAAGCCAGCAACGATTGATGCACTGGAAGCCAATATTGAAGCATTTATTCGTGAGATACCGGCCGATATATTGGAGAGAGTGTGCCAAAATTGGACCTTGCGCATGGGCCATCTAAAGCGGAGCCGGGGCCAACATTTACATGAAATAATCTCTAAACATTAAATTTTATCGACCGTTCTATCGACTCAAATAAAGATTTAATCGCTTTTTTCGTATAAAAAATCACCCGTTACAACTGAAACATCGTTGATGGTGTAAACTAGTGTAAATGGCAACACTGCGCTGGTTTGAATCTCACGTCGAGCCACCTTATTAGGCAGGTAATGCCTAGCTGGTATTGCCATCTTTGCAAAGATTTAACTGTCCCAACTGGCGGGGAAGTTTCTCATTATTTTCATAATAATATTTCAATTGTGGTTCCAGCAGTATCACCCATTAGTTAGACACAATGTCACACATATATGTGTATTTCGTATAATCTTTAAGTCTGTGTCTCTAATAACACCACCTACCCGACAACACGTGATACCCTTCACCTGCGGAGGATCCGATTCCAATCCAACAAGGCCGACAGTACCCCAGCCGCGACAATGTAATCATACCAGGGCGTACGAAAGTTGTCCAGATATTTCGCACCCTATGTAGTCAGATACGATATTCAGAAAAAAAGTTAATTAACGAATCTATTATATTCATTCTATAATATTCCAGCTCTAAAGGTATACATAGCTGGCGATTACTAAAGTTATTGGAACGTAAGAAAGTGGGCTCAGATGCTATACACATGGTGCATACTCAAAGTCCATTATTTTTTTTACTACGATCAAGGTCAAGGTTTTTACAGCTGCCGAGTAATAAATATAGCAGCGTGTGCAAAAGTTGAATTGGATACTATACAGGGTGGCCCATCCATGTGTGGACGGAATATTACTCATAAACAAATACATTTTGGGAAAATCTATTTATGGGATGTTATACACGACATTTGAGGGCACATTTCTGAAATATTGGCCATTATACAGTGTGTCCCAATTTCGACCTTCATATCGAAGTTGTGATTTTTTAAAAAGAATGCCTCAAATTTTATTGCATATTTGGATGAACCAATTCAAACGAAGGAAATTGATATGACTTACTATGGGGTTTTGGTAATTAGCTACTGAGATATAAGATGTTTTGTCTAGAAAAACCCCCTACTGCGGTAACCCCTCAGTCTGCCATTTTGAAATTTCAAGTGCTGAATTTTGTATCAAAAAAAACTTTCACACCTCAGCTTTCATCTTGTCAGTTTTCCGGATTTTCATTTTTGCTCATACAGGGTGGTCAAAAACGCAAATTGTACTTTTTCTAAAAAAAAAATCAAATGGATCACCCTGTATATTTGTGCAAGTTTGGATTCAATTTTTTATATTTTTTTGGACACTAGACACATAAGGGTTTCTGCGGCTATTTTTTCAGTTATTAGCACGTCTTTTATGGAACGGCTTAATTCCCTAAAATATCGTATCATCCTTGGAAACAAATAAATTGTTGATTAGTTACAAACTTTCAAAATTAGCTTTGTGAACATTATAATAAAACGTGTTTGAAAATGATTTTTTCTAAAGAAGAAATGGTGAATATGCTGTTCGTTTTGGACGAAGCCCAAAGAAATAGTTTCCTAGCATCTCGCATTTATAAGCAACGGTACCCTAATATGCGACATCCAAGGCCGGAAACATTTTTCACACTACGAGAACGTTTTGAATCACGTGGGGCAGTGGAATATAGTAAAAAATGTATAAATTATCGAAGTGTCACCAATGAGGTGAATTAGTCGGAGGTTCTATTAAAGTTGCAGGAAAATCGCCATTTAAGTGCACGGCAAATTGGAGCAGACACTGATATATGCAGAACTTCTGTCCAACGGATTATTCACAAGCATAGTTACCATCAATATCACGTATGCTAGCATCAAGGTCTCAGGATTTCGCAGTTCGAATGGAGTTTAGTAGAATAATGCTAAATAAAGTGAGTGAAGACACTACTTTCCTGGATAAGGTTCTTTTTAGCGATGAGGTAACTTTTAACAGCATAGGTGCTGTCAACAGGCATAACATGCACTATTATGCTACGGAAAACCCTTACTGGGTTAGGCAAATAGATTTCCAAAATAAATGGAGCTTGAACGTTTGGGGAGTTATTGGCAGACAAGTTATCGACAACAGATTAACAGGTACAAAGTACTTGCATTTTTTGATCGAGCATTTGCCTTTGCTTTTGGAGGATGTCAACCTGCAAACTCTGATGCTATCTACTTCCAACATGAGGGCGCACCTGCGCATTATCATGATCGTGTGCGTAACTATTTGGAAACTTGGAGTAACTATCGTTGGATCGGTCATGATGGTACTAGGAGTATATCTTGGCCTCCTAGATCACCAGATATGACACCGACGTACTTCTTTCTATGGGGCTACGGTAAGCAAGAAGTTTATAGATATCCACCACCTACCCCGGAAAATATGATGGAAAAGATTAAGGATGCTTTTCTGAACATGAGGGAACACATGCTGAGGGATGTGCAACGTTCATTTATCCAAAGACTACGGCTGTGTATTCAACATGGTGGAGATATTTTTGAGCAGTTTTTGTTGATTAGGTCTTGAGTAGTGTTAGTTGTTTGTTTCTGTTGTTGTTATAGTTGTTTTTCTCTATCACGCTTGATGCTGATTTACACTGTTCTGATTGTTATTAGTTTTTACGTTAAATCTGTATTTTTAGTGGCAATATGGAACTAGCCCACTGTTTCTCTTTTGTGTCCATGTATGATGTGATTTTTTTTTCCTTAATTTTGGTGTGTTGTTCTATTAAAAGCTCAATAACTCAAAGTCTAGTGATTTTATCTGAATCAAACAACTAAAAAAAGCTTATAAAAAATGCAATCCAAACTTGCACAAATATAGACGGTGATGCATTTGAAATTTTTGAGAAAAAGTACAATTCGCGTTTTTGACCACCCTGTATGAGCAAAAATGAAAATTGACAAATAAGATGAAAGCTGAGGTGTGTAAATTTTCTTTGATACTAAATTCAGCACTCCAAATTTCAGGCGGATTGAGGGGTTGCCGAAGTGGACAAAACACTTTACATCTCATTAGCTCATTACCAAAACCCCATAGTATGTCATATCAATCTTCTCCTTTTGAATTGGTTTATCCAAATATGCAATAAAATTTGAGGCATTCAATTTAAAAAATCAAAACTTTGATATGTAGGTCAAAATTGGGACACCCTGTACAATTGCCAATATTTTAGAAATGTGCCCTCAAATGTCATGTATGTTTATGAGTAATATTCCGTCCACGAATGGATGGACCACCTTGTATATGCTGCATATTCAATTTTCATTTGTCCAGAACTGTATGTGAAGTACAGAGTCAATCTGCTTGACGCCACTTTCTATTCATTACAACTTACTGCACAGCACTGGCAGCTAGTTTCCCATCTATTATAAAATGATCCTAGTCATCTAAGCTTCCCAAGCGGCGTGAAAGCGTTGTTTTCCAAGTTGAAAACCAACCGCAGCATTTCCATCCTCTCCGTATTTTTCCCCAGGAGCCCGTAATTATGCAAATATGGGCTAGGTGCAGGCCTCAGGAGCTGCTGTTTAAGCTCCAACACCTTGCTAGTTAGAAGACCGTTTAGGAGGATTAAAACTACCTAGAGTTCAAGGAAAGCTGCTTAAAAGCTCCCCATTGGCTGACCGGACAGTCTAAAAATATCTGCTGGATTATTAAATTTACATGGTAGGAGCTGGGAGCTTTTAACTGAAACAGTCCTTAAGTTGTATCGTTTATCTATCAAAAAAATACCTGCTCCTACTATATACGTAAAGTGTGAGAAACATCGTACCCAATCTTCTGGAGAAGTAACCATACAAGAGATAACACCAGTAAGTACTTACAGAAACGTTAGCAGCTCTTCCAAGGACGAACCAAGCATTTTCGGTCATTTTTCTTTAACCTCTCCCGAAATTGTGTCACAAAAGTCACATTTTTGTCAAGATATATCAACTTTCAACCTAGCCTATACATAGAGTGTTTATCCGATATGACTAGACGAAAAAAGAAGGATGAAGAAGAGCAACAAGAAGATAAAGATGAAAGTTATTTATCCAAGAATAATGCAAATACTACTATAGAGCAAGAAGTACAGTACCTGAAGAAGCTATTAGAAACAAAGAATGAAATAATTTTAGATAAAGAGAGGTATATCAATCAATTAGTTAATGAGAACAGACGTTTACAGGAGCATTATGAATTGATCATTAGCAGTATAGTGGATAAAGAAACCATAATCACTTCTTTGGGGAAAATAAATGAAAGAGTTGAAAAAATAGAAGCTACTACCTCATACACCCGTTGTAATGATGTAATTAAATCATATAGTGGAGCTGTAAAAGAGTCAAAAAAAAGCAAAGATGAGAAGATTGTAGATAAAATTAATAATACACAAAAGTTGATGATAAAAAGTACGGACAAATCAAACTCTAATGTGTTGGAAGATTTGAAGAAGAGCATTGATCCAGCTAAGTCAAATATCTGTGTGAACTCTGTGAGGAGGGTGAATAATGGCATCATTCTTAGCTGCGAAAATGAAGCATCAATGTCCAAGCTGATGGCGAGTATACAGGGAGAACTCGGTGCGAACTTCACTGTCAATGAAATCAAGAAATATCGCCCACGCATGGTGATAAATAATGTAGAATGCGCCTACACAAAATCTGAGGGATTAATCGAGAAGATCTTGTCCCAGAATGAATTTGGTATTTTCAGTAGTGATGATATAAAAACAGATGTTCCGAATCTACTTTAAATGTTGTCATTGAGGTTAGCCCAAAATTTAGAAAAACGTTGCAAGATAAAGGTCATATATACATGGGTTGGCAAAGATGTCCTGTGCGGGATTATGTACGAATTATACGCTGCCATAAATGTTCAGGTTTTGGCCACATGGAAAAAAATTGCATACATTCTAAAGTATCATGTCCTTTATGTGCTGGAGATCATTTGGAAAAAAATTGTAAATCTGCTTTTAAGAATTGTTCAAACTGTATGAATCACAATTCTAAATTCAACACTCAATTTGATACTAGTCATTCTTCTAAAGACTTGTATTGTCCAACTTATAAAAAATATGTTACATACTTGAAATCTAGAATTGAATATGAATAGTGATAAATTCAAGGTTTTAAAATTTGGTCATATAAACTGCAGATCAGTTTTATCAGGATTTCATGAATTTAGTACACTGGTTCAAAACAACAACCTTGATATTGTTGGAATATCGGAAACGTGGCTATCAAAAGATATATCTAATGACCATATAAGAATGAATGGATACAACTGCTATCGCTGTGATAGAGATGGGCGAGGTGGTGGGGTTGCAGTCTTTGTAAACAACCACTACAACTCTTCCATAATTTCATTTGGGCAAGACCCAAGTCTTGAATATATATGGTTGAAGGTGCAGCTTCCAAAACAAAAAATTGCTATTGGTATATTCTATCGGCTCCCACATAGCTCTGTTACAGAAGCCGGTAATACCTTTGATAACATGTTGCCTGCCATATTAGCTGAATATGATGATATCATCCTTGCAGGGGATATCAATGTTAATTTGCTTTTAGTTTGTAACAACTTGACTAAATGCCTTGATTCTTATAATCTGAAACAGGTGATATCTGAACCGACTAGAATAACTGAATCGACACTCACTCTCTTAGATCCTATTTATTTGAACAAGCCTGATAGTTGTCTTAGGAGTGGCACTATTAATGCTGATATGATTACTGATCACTATTTAACCTTCTGTGATATACGTATTGCACTTCCTAAAAATCAACAGAAATTTGTTACATTCAGGGATTTCCATAGTTTAAATGAAATAGCGTTTGAACAAGATCTCAAGAGTTTTCCATGGTGGCATATTACATGTATATCGATAGATGACATTGAAGATAAAATTAACTTTTTAACAGATAGTATTTTATGCTTATTTAATGTTCACTGTCCAAAAAAGGTAGTGCGTGTAAACAAAGCTCCAGCTCCTTGGTTGGATGATAATATTAAACTTGTATTCAGGCAGAGGGCTGAAGCTTTGTCAAAGTTCAAACGTGATCGTACAGCCGCCTCTTGGCAACAGTATACATATTTCAGAAATCGTGCATTAACGCTCGTGCGAAGAGGAAAAAGAGATTATTTACAAGCTGTTCAAAATCAGGATATAAAAAAGTTTTATAAGACCCTAAAGACTTTCAAAGTACAATCTCAGAAAGATTCTGCAATTCCCGTGAGCTTGTCCGATCCGTATAAAATAAATGAGGCATTCATTTCAATTTTCGAGAATAGTGATTTGGCTTGTGCTGATAAAATTGCATATTACCCAGCTAATAAAAATAACTCAAAATTCAAATTTCAATTTAATAAAGTGACTATTGACACCGTTGTTAAAATTATACATAAAATAAAATCAAATTCTAGTGGTACAGATGAAATAACTTTGCATATGATACTACTATGTATACCAGAAATTGATGTCTACTTAACGCATATTATAAACTGCTGTTTAGAGAGGGGATATTTCCCCAATCAGTGGAAACGCGCTATAGTTATTCCGCTACCTAAGTGTTCTGATCCTACTAACTATGGTCAACTGAGACCGATCAGTCTACTGCCAATTTTCTCTAAAGTATTGGAACGCGTTGTTTACGAGCAGCTGTGCGCCTACTTATATTCTAACAAAATTATTCCATCTAAACAATCTGGATTTCGACAAGGTCATAATACAGCTTCGGCACTCTGTGATTTAACAGACAATATAACAATGGCACTTGATAACCAAAAAGCAGTAGCTCTCATACTTCTTGACTTTACTAAAGCATTTGACACCATTAATCACTCGCTTCTTGTATCTAAATGCAGTTACTATGGATTTTCTGAAAAACCTCTTTCGTTTATTCAAACCTACCTTGAAAATCGGTATCAAAAAGTTCGTCTAAATCAACAGTACTCTACGGAACAAAAAATTTGTTCTGGTGTACCACAGGGATCAGTCTTAGGACCGCTATTATTTTCATTATATATCTCAGACAGACAGACAGAGGTAAAATCATGCAGCATACAATTTTTTGCAGATGATACTCAAATTTTCTATTCATTTAGGAGTAATGACTTAGAAACCGCAAATAATAAAATTAATCAAGATCTTGCCCAAATTGAAAAGTTCAGTAGTAGTCATAATCTTCGTTTGAACCCTTTGAAGACAAATATGTTGGTATACGCAAATAGAACAAAAAAGAATACCTTAAAAAAGGACATAGACATACATTTAAAAGGTAATAAATTAATTCCTGTGGATCATTCGAAAAACCTAGGTATTATAATGGATGATGACTTAAAATTTGTTGCACACGTGAACTATCTAATTACGCAGTGCTACGCTATTCTCAGAGTTTTATTTGCAAATAAGGCTATATTACATAAATCTGCGAGAAAGCAATTGTGTGAATATTTCGTATTTTCAAAGATATCGTATTGCTTAGTGGTTTACTGTCCCTATTTAGATATTATAACAAGAAATCGTATTCAAAGTATTATGAATACATGTTGCAGGCTTGTAAATGATCTCAGAAAATACGATCATATATCGAATGCCATTAATGAACTCAAATGGATGAAAATTGATAAAATGTATAAGTACCAGCTCCTAAATCTGACTCATAAGGTTCTTTATTCAAAAACACCGTCATATTTAGTAAACAAATTCATACGTAGAGGGAATATGCATCGTATTAATATTAGATATAGAGAGACTTTTTCAATTCCACGCCACAGCACGTCTCTATTTCAGAATTCATACATTTACAATGCGATCAAATCATATAATTCTTTAGACCGCAGTTTAAAAGAAACCAATCCATTATCCAAATTCAAGAAAAAAGTGAAAGAAGTTCTTCTTGATCAGCAGCGAAATCGGTTGTAACCCATAAGTGTTCTCATATTTTCCTTATGTATTTACTTGGATTATTCGTTATTGTATACAGGTGCCTATTAATTTTCAATAAATTCTTTTTTTTTTTTTTTTTTTTTTACATCTCGAATTGTTAAGGGGGTTAGGTGGTAGAATAGATATATAATCTAAATCTCGCCTCCTGTAAGAATATTACAAATAAAAGACGTTAATTATTATTATTATTATTATTATCTTGAATCCTTTCCGAAAGAGGCAATACTATCGTCCCTATCCCTCTTGATTACCCTGCACCACTTCCTTCTATTTCCTTTACGTTTTGACTCAGGTAAACATGTTTTGCTGGGGCTGATATGCCTGTATTTGTACACTTAGGTACGATACAGTATTTGTAAGTCGATAGTCTGATCCATTTTCTTACCCCGTTTTTACCGTAAATCATAAATACGGAGCAGAGCAACATTTGTAAATGACGCAAAGCATGCGTGGCGGGCGCTTTGTGGTAGCGATGGTAGCTGGTGTCATGTGACGTCATCACTCAATGTCACGTTCCGACTGTTCGGGTTTTTACTTTTACTGTTTCTAGAAGAAAAACTACTGCACTTCCTCAGTGAACTTTTATTAGTTCTAAAACACAATGACAACTCCTTAGCAACTACCCTTGTCAATGTTTCAAACCTTACAGACACCCGAATACTCGAAGTTACATCGAGTACACTACAACCAAACTTCGTAATTTCTTATTTTGTAACTATTCTCAACACCTTCTCCTAATTACAAGATAAGATTACTAAACAATTTTACAAAATTTTTTGTCATTTCACACGTCAAAACACCTCTGAATATTTCAAATTTGTTTACACAGAGTGGTTTTATTAAAACATCTGCTACTTGATATTCTGAAGGAATATAAACCAAGTTGATCAATCTCTCCTTCACCTTTTCATTTATAAAGTGAAATCTCACATCTACAGGGTGTCCGCAAAGTTGGGGTTTTTCTTTATACGACGTGTAGATCTTGAAAACATAAGCAATTTTTCTTAGTACTATATACACCAATGTCTTAAGAGAACCGAGATAAAGGGCTCTGCAACATCAAAAATATCTAAATACCGTCCTGTAGCCGCGACTCGCGACATCCCCGAGTGGTACTAGGACACTAGCACAACCCGACGACAGAACTGGGTCGGGGTCAGTGTGTCAGGTCAGTATGCAACCTTCAACCGACGGTTACGGTCACGCGTGTAGAGGTAAACGAACCCGTATAATCGATTGCGTTTCAAAAAACAACAAGCACTAGAGACGTGGCTAGAGAAGTGCAAGTATCAAAAACTAAAGTGTGGCAAACGCTGCGTGAAGAGGGGCTGTATCCGTTTCACGTCCAACGTGTACAAGCCCTTCAACCTGACGATTTTCCAGCAAGAGTGCGGTTTTGTGAGTGGTTGTTGCATCAACATGACAATAATCCGGACTTTTTGAAGTGCATATTGGTGACAGACGAATCTACGTTCACGCGTAATGGGGAGAATAACTTTCGCAACGCTCATGTTTGGTCAGTAGAAAATCCGCACGCTGTCCGTCGGGCACATTTTCAACATTTTCGGTGAATGTTTGGGCTGGCATGGTGAACGGTATGCTCATTGGACCATTTATTCTCCCAAATCGATTGGACGGGATGCAATACCTAGACTTTTTACGCAACATTTTGCCTTCCTTGTTAGAACATGTGCCATTAAGTGTAAGACAATCAATGTGGTTTCTGCACGATGGTCATATTTGTTACCTCTGTTCGTGGTCTGCACCACCGCCGGCATCTGCTCGGTAGCGCATCAGCTGATTTCATT